TAAAGGGTGACAAAAATACATAAATATTTTTTATTACAGTTATATTAAAGTTAGAGTTTTTTAAATATTTTTTTATTTTCTGATAGATATCATCATTTAAACCTGTAAAGGAAAAATAGTCATCTTAAGTGACGCATATAATTGATAACTACACACATCAAAAGTGTCTAGGGATCAACATATATTTTTGCAATAACTTTTCTCCTGATTGATATTAATTAAAATTTTCTTTAAGGATTCATCAAATAAAGTGTTTTCGTTTGTCACAGTAACGATAAACCAAGTCACCTTTGCATTAATAAAGAAATTTGCCATTTTCCTAATAAAGGGATTTTTGACATTTGAACCACTAACACAAAAGTTCGAAAAAAAGACTGAAATAACAGTTTTCTCTAAAATTTTATTGGGTAACTTAAACAATTAATAATCCGTATTTCTACCGCGAACACTAACAACACAAGAACATCGGTTTGGCATACTCAAAATGAGTTCATCCAAATCACGCTGTGGAATGGCCGCCCATGTTCGTTGCAACAACAAAAAAAGGTCTTCTTGCGACTGGATACCCTCCATATTCGGCAGAGCTCTTCTCTGTAGCATATCCCATGCATGCTCAATCGGGTTCAAGTCTGGCGACTGAGCAGGCCAGGGCAGGACATTGATGTTAGCTGCGGCGAGAGTCTGTCTTACAACTCTTGCGGTGTGCGGTCGTGCATTATCATGCATTAACTGAAATAAGGGACCGATTTGCACTTGTAGAGGAACGATGACGTCTGATACAATCGTCTCAGCATAAATTTGAGCGTTGAGGTTGCCTCTGATCCAAATCAACTCAGTTCTTCCGCCGATCCAAATACCCGCCCATACCATGATGGTTCCACCACTATAAGGATGGACTTCCTGGCAGGATTTTAATCGCTGTTGGCGTCCAGGGGTTCTCCAGTGTCGTATACGTCTTGTATCCGGTCTCATACCAAAACGAGACTCATCAGAAAAGCACACGAAACGCCATTGTTCTTCTGCCCAATTTCTGTGTTCAAGAGCCCATTGATATCGAATCCTACGATTGTGCATTGCTATAGGTGGTACCCGTAGCGGTCTTCGGGAATGAAGGTTCACTTCATGCAAGCGGTTTCTGACTGTTTGGTCGCTAATTAAGTTCCCTGAAGAGTGATGAAGCCTCACGGCTAACATCATGGCGGTTATTGTTGGAGCTCTTCGAGTTAAGATTTGAATGTATCGGTCTTGTTTCCGTGTGGTGCAGCGATACCGTCCTCCATGGCGCTCAGCCACGGTACCAGTGCTTCGGTATCGTGTCCAAAGTCGACTGATAACACTCTGACTTGTTTTCAGAGCTAAAGCCACAGTACGTTGCCGGGAACCAGCTTCTATCATTCCCACGGCTCTGAGCATTTCTTCCCTGCTTAAATGACGTCGCCGCTCCATAATAACGTTGGTTTTAATCAGTAGTAGGGAAACAGTAGCACTAATAATGTCTTCAATGCGTTGTATGTTTTTATAGGGAAAATATTGACAGCTGATTTTCATCTTTTACTCGAATTTGATTCACAGTTCCTGATTCAAATTATGAAATGCACCAAAAAGGATCCATATAAATTTATAAAATCATAAATTTATTACAAAGCCACATCTCAATCTCAAGAAATCCGCATAAAAATGCTTGATCCCTAGACACTTTTGATGTGTGTATTTAAATTACTGCTTCTACTAAAAGTTGTTTTAAACAGAAATCGTAAACTAAGGATACATCCAATTTGTTCCAAGAGAAAAGTATTCGGCGAATATCATCATCTTTTTTAATGATCTCTTAGATTAGAAGACAAAACTACACTCCAATGTGTTTGCTATAGCACATTGTGTCCACAGATTACAAAGATTAACTGTGCCCGACCGATCCCACCAGGGCGAGATGGGTGCCTCTGCATCAGCATAGTGTGCGATAGTGCTTTAAGATACATACGGGCAATTTGTCGATTTTGCGCTGCGAGCCGACCCGCTATGGCCTGACATAACCTTAAGATGTATAAGTATACTGTAACTCGGCCAATATGCTCACGAAATCAGAGTATAAATTAACAAACAACCGATAAGAATTTTATATGCTGGGAGAGCTTTTAATCAACATTTTCACATTTACACTCAGCATTGTAGTTATTTGACCGAAATATTTTACAAAAGCTTCCGAATAAATGTTACCTAACTTTTGTTGATGATGTTCCGATGTTAGATATACACTCGAGAGTAATGAATCCGGTTCACATAAGGAATCCTATAAATCTCGTAAACTAAGTATGCTAGCTTAATGAAATAAATTGTCTTTAATAGACATTAAATACTCTATAAAGGAAATTAATAAAATTAACGAGTCACCACATTTTATTTACAAAAAAAAAATAGAACGATTTTGGGGAATATTCTCCCATTCCTCTGTGGGAGCAATTTTGAGCTCACGAAGAGTAATTGGGGGACGGTTTCGTTGTTTTACGCATCTTCCTAGCTCGACCCAAGCATGCTCGACCGGGATGATATCTGAGCTGCGTGCTGACCACTCCATATAAGTAATGTTCATTTCTTGAAGGATTCACAATCAAACCTGCATGAGGTTAGGCATTGTCATGCATAAAAAAAGCATCCTCATCCAAATTGACTTTAAATGAACCAACGTGTTCATTCAAGATTTCTTCCACGCATATTTCGCTAGATAAAGAGCCATTTTCTATGAACACCAGTTCTGTGCGACTCTCAGAAGAAGTTCCGGCCCACACAAGTACAGACCCACCACCGAAGGCTACTTTTTCTTCAAAGCATGCCTGCATGAATCTTTCCCCAGGTCTTCTATATATTATCTGCCTTCCATCGCGCTTGTTGAGCATAAATTTTGATTCGTCGGAAAACATATCTTTTGACCAATAATCAATACTCCAATTTAAGTGGTTCTGGGCATACTTTAGTTTTGAAATACGATGCCCACGCTCCAGTTTACAGATCTTAGTGGTTTCAAGCTAGCTTCAACAAGTCGTCGTCTTACTGTCCATGCGCTTAGGCCCACTCCCTAGAGGCGTCAAAACTGATTTGTAATTTCAGTTCCTGAGAGAAAGCGATTTCGAAGCATGGTGTTCACCAAGTATCGATCTTCTCTTGCTATGGTACACCTGGTTCTGCCTGTTCCTGGTCTGCGTAGGTTAGAGCCAGTTTCCTCGTAACGTCGGAGAACTTTTTGTACTGTTGACAACGACACACCGACAGTCCTGGCTGTATCGTGCTGACTCCGGCCGGTTTCCAGCATTGTGAGAAGTCTGGTGCATTCTTCAGGTGAAAGCGACATTATTACAGCTTGAATAATTAATATTGAACACTCGACATTTTTCATATGAATGATAAATGACATATTACAAACAAAAGCAAAAACATATGCAGTAATTTCGTAGTTCTATCTTTGAAAGTATTTCTTTTCAAATTTGATTTTTTTATGATAAAATATTACAATAACTAAAAGTTTTAATACCTTTATTTAAGGAGTATTTAATTGTCTATTAATTAGAGTTTATTTTATTATGCTAACATTTTTAGTTTACGAGATTTTTAGGATTCTTTAAGTGACCCGGATTCATTGCTCTCGAGTGTACTAAATATCAGAAACAGTCGCTAACTTCGTCGAATAGGAGCACCTTTTGATTAACTGTTATCTAAATGACCCGTTGAAAACCTATATATTTATATACATATTACCTTTAACCACAATTCGTTTCTTCAAATCAATAACGAAGAGAACTCTACCACTATGCGAAAAACCAACTTTCATGTTTCTATTATGTAACTCAATATTCGACCCCTTATCATCTTTCATTACTTTTTCTTTGAGGAAAAGAATGATTGAAATCGTATCGATTTGTTGAGCACGGGAATGCCTTTTCACTTGTTGTGTTAAAAGTTAAACGACAACCAGATGGTACATACACACACACACCTCTAGGTATGAATTTAGTACGATTAATTTTGATTTTCATGTTTCATTCACAGATAGATCACCAGAGTGTGCTTCTGGTCTAGTAAGGGGATCATATTTTTTTGAGAAAAATGAGCGTCTTATCATATGGAACAATCTCCTATTCCCCACTTAGCTTTTATTTGTATAAAAATTACATTTAATTATACCCTCTGATAAATTTAAGACTATAATAATAAGCGGTTTTAACTTTAGTTTTTCAGGATAAATGTATCAATCCAGGTGATAAATTACATGTGTGCCAAATTATATCCAAATGCGTTGAGCGGTTTCGCATGATTTAGTAACAAATAAACAAACACAGACACAGGTACAAACTTTCACAGTTACTTCTAATAATAGTAGGATGTAAATTATAACTTAATTGTTTGTATGTAATTGTTGATGGCTGAATGCGCATAACTAAAATAAAGATCTCCCATGTGCAAATAAATGCAAGTAAGCAAATATAATCATATAGAAAAGTGTTATTTGTGACTGAGGTGTCTGGAGCTCCCTCCACGCAGTAAGGGGATTGTACTCAGATGCCACATTTCTATGCTGCATCAGCCATTTAGGATTGTACCTACAGAATACCAGGAGAGGTTTTTTTTTATTTTTATTGCCTTTGCAGGCAGATGATCAGACGGGCCAACTGATGTAAATTGATCACCGTCGCCCATAGATATCAGCAATGCCGAAATGAACTGTGAAGAAATTTGCTGACCAAGTAAGTATAGACAGACATAAGAACAAATTATGCATTCAAAGGTGACTTCATGAACCATCTCATATTGAAGTCATTGTTCAACTTGGCGATTCTGTGCCTAAAACAAGGAGAAAAAACAGCCTTTGCTGAGTTTTGTTGTCGGTTATTCTCAGTACAAGGTCTCCAGCCGTGGATTAACAAACCAGTGGCGTAGCTTCTAAACATTAATGAGTGTTAATCTGAGTAAACGATTTTGAATTTGAATAAGGAGACAGTGATACTCACGCCTCGATATCGTCTTCATCTTTCTCGCTCTTGGGAGGAATCTTGATGGTGTCTCCTTTGCCGATGACACTGATGTCACACTTGAGGTATCCCTTCGCACCGGCTGCCACGTCGTCAGGGTCGGTCAGCAGTGCCCATTTGTGGTAGAACTGCCGATCTGATGGAGAGGTTAGAATGGAAACATTTGAGAAAATATTATTTTATTACGACAGGCGATTGCTTACTACAGCTGAAAGTTATGTAAAGAAATATCCGGGATACATGTTTTGGAGGATTTGAGTTTTTTTCCTTGAGGTATGTCCTGTCAATACCTGTGGATGTTGAATTTCCAGGGTGATATGCAAAATTTTTCCTTGTTCTACAAAAACCTTGCAATGTATTTTGTCTTGTTAAAAAGAGGCATATTCTGCGCGCGATCAAAGCCATTGACGCGATATAGGTCTTTAAGGGCCAAGTAAATAACTATAAATACCTAATCTCCTTAGTATTTCTATAAAATTCTTAAGTACCAATTCATGTTATAAGGAAATCGATCACGTTCAGAAGCTTAATTTATAATTAGCCTCGGGTGAAGGCTTTAGTTTTCAATTAAGTAGGTGTATACAGTATTAAAATTTTTACAAAGGTGCATGGCTTGTATTTATTCATTTATTATTTGATGTACAAGCAGGTGACAAACATAAAAATACACAAAATTATATTTATTTCACGGGTACCTGGCAGAATCTCGTTGCTCCAAAATATATTTGGCACTTGGCATTATTTTCTTTAAACTATTATTTAATTATATGTATGACCTAAATTTTATATGTCCGAATCCACAATGTAGTAATTTTGCTAAGATATTTTCGAGTTTTCAGATTTGAGTTTTTACTTCTGTTGGCACTCCTGGAGTGCTACTGCCCATTTTTTATGTATAAAATAGCATAAAAAAGGAAATAACGAATGAGTTTTACAAACTGTCAACATTGCGTATTTACGATAAGTATGGCGAGCGCAAACTGAATGTAATTTCGTCTGAATTCATCACAAAGCATTAATCGAAAAGAGTTTTTGTATAGCGCACTGCTTCTTTGTAGCTCCACTGTCATGTTAAAAATTGAAATAAAATTGAGCTCTCTTAATATTTTAATAATATTTCAGATGAAATACGGTTTTGTTCTGAATATTTAAGTTGTAACTGAAATTATATCAGTAACAGTCAGCCCTTTATTATTTCAGTAAGCATTAAATCAACCAATGATCCAATGGACCGCAGTTGTCTTAGTGGCTTCGGCGGATGAAAGGGCGTTCTTAATAATCCTTCCTTAGCAAGATATCCTTATCCTAGTTGAGTCGTTACTAGGCAACCTTTTCAGTCCAATAATCAATAAAATCATCTATTATTTTGGAAAACTTTGGCAACCCCTCCCTCCCATCTGTAACGTGGTTAGCAAAATTTTCTTCATTAAAAACATCGCTGTTACTAAATCATATTTTCAATCACTACATATAAAACAAAGTCTGTCTATATTATACACATATCTATGCGATGATCTTCTACTATTAAGAACGGATCTTCTAGCGGTTGATGGTGAACTGGAAGTTAATAATTTTGCATGGAAGGTGTTTTACTTATAATAAAATTACACAAGGCTCATAACAAGTAATAAATTTAAATACCTAAGCTCTGATATTTTTTATTAGGCGTAAAATGGTATAACTTTTTAACCAGTCGTAAACAATATGCTCAGTAGCCAAAATACATACAAAGCTGAAACAATGTACCTAATAATGTGACAAACTTTGGATCGTGACCAATACATGAAGCCGACAATGGTTTGGGCTGTCAAAATTATTATAAGTCCTTTGCTATACATGCCATTATTTGGTATTGTAGTAGTTTGCTTAAAGGTGTGTCAAACACATGAGGAACAAAACCAGTCAAATGCACACAGCAATGTTTTATTGCAACAAATCGTTCAGTTAGAACACTAAATTCAAACAGCAGCCGCGCTGACATTAGATGATTAATTCGTTCACAATTGGTTGCAATGTAACTTAAATATTTTTTAAGACAAATATTTACAAACCGGTTTTGCTTTTAAATTTTTTTCGACGATGCCAGTATTTGAAATGTCTTTCATTTATAAACCACTAGTGGCTGCCCGCGACTATGTGTGAACTGGTATTTGTTTCCCATACAAATTTCCAACCCCTCTCCCCCGTTCACTCCCCCCGTTTGTTCAGGATGTTTTAGGGGATACAAACTATCCGTTGTTCCTTCCTGGGACTCATACTATCCAAAACAAAATTTTCGATCAAAAGGGATTTATAATATAAGAATAGATTTTGGGCTAGCTGTAGTAATATTTTTTAATATTATAAGTAATTATTTCTGTAACAAAACTAAATTAACCCTTTTTTATGATAGCACTTGCCTACTCCGAAACCTGGCGCCCAACGTGGGGTTACTGAGCGTTGCGAGGTAAATACAATCTGACGATAATATGTACAGCTGCGTGGAGTTCGAATAGCGTCCCGAAGGGCGAAGTTGTACGCAAGGTACCGCGAACTTACCCGGCTGACTCCATACTGTGGCGACGTCTAGTTTGAAGCTGCCGAGCAATTTGTTCGCTCTCAAGATATTCCGGGATTGCAGGACCTGGGAACAAATTCCAAGTATTAATTAAAATAACGGCCGTACATACAGAGGTTTATTTCATTTCATTGATAGGGTGACGTCTTCTGGTGGCTTTGGTACTAAATGAGCTAAAATTAACGTTCTACATTTGAATAACTTCTGTCGTAATGAATGAGCGGGCTGCGTGTCTATAGATGCTAGACGATAGTTTGACTGGCGATAATTTGACACGCTAAAAGATCTTGTGGTAAACGATAAATTTGTGAGCTGAAGGAGCATACTTAATTAAAAGTTCATACGCTAATTTTCGCACATTTTAGTACCAAAGCCACCCGAAGATTCATCTCGCAGATGTGGGATAAGCATAAGGTTTTTGCAAAGTAATTGATAGCATCAAATGTAATGTTTTTTAAATGTAATCATAGTTTTCGTAATTGTAAAACTCGTTCTAATGGTACAGTTAGATTATCTTTATTTCGTTATTACTTGAAAGAGAAATCCATCGGACAAATGCATCCGGCAATGCTTTATTAATCTGGAAATTTCGACATTATCAAAATGGAAATGTTTAAACTACTTTTGGTAGAAAAATGGGTTCAAATAAAGCTGAATCCTTTACAGAGATATACATTGAATATCCGCTACTGAAAAGCAGTTTGAAGCTTTTTAATTCAATAATATTTTTTTTGCCTCCCCGTGTTCATCTTGAGAGATCAAATATCAATTACAGGAATATAATAAAAAGAAGTTCTCTGATGAAATTATTCACGTTACGGGCATAAATCTCTCAGAATCTAAATCGCCGTAGAAATTGTAATTAATTTAGATTAAAATTAATAAAATTGCTTACTGGCACTTGGTAAGATTTTACATGAAACATTTTTCAAGGAAAAAAGAAATTACCTACAGAACTTTCTCAACTCCCAACTGCGTATTATGTCAATTATTCATTAGGTAGGCACTTATATTCATACTTTCTTTATCATGCAAGTCTGTACCTACGTAATGACCACTCACAATGATAACATCAAATAAAAAGTGGCGAAAAATTGTGAATTACGCGTAATATGTGTAGCATACCTACACGGCACACGCCGTCATCTGACTGAGTTGAAACTGTCTATGCAGTTAATGTTGAGTTTTAGCATAATATAAAACTTCATATACATCAATAAGTTCAAAGTTGGTTGCAGTTGAAGGCTTTCAGGTCGTGTGTAACACGAGGTTAAATTCCGATTCCCAATTAAAAATAAAAGCTATTGCCATGTAAAATAATGATTTTAGAGATAAAAGGAAAAACGCGGTTTACATTCAATGGTACGGTTTGTAAATATTTTATAACTTTAAATTTTCTTTAGTGTGTGTAGTTTTGATGTGTTTGATCTATACGAGGAAACCCTAATTATTATGCAGGAACGTTTGCAGAATTTGTGTATCAGATTCGTTTTGTCCTTTGTTAGTATAGCAAAAGCTCTGTCATGATTTGCCGTCAATTTTTTGCAGTCGGTGCCATGCATGCAGATCTAAGTTCCCATTTACTACTTGGGTTGACATGGCACCGACGCTATCCAATAAAAACCGGCCAAGTGCGTGTCGTACCACACGCAGTGTTGGGTTCCGTAGATATTTTATTGTGGTTTTAACAATAGTTTTTTAAAATTTTGTTATTCAATTCAAGGTTTTACGCGATGACAGCAAGAAATTACTTTATCTAAGCCAGTTTTGTGTGTGTTCTTCTAAAATTTTTTTATTAGGTAAGAAATTTTGTAATACCTAAGTTTAACGAATTTGCTCTAAAATGAACTGATCTATCTTAATAATCACAATTTTCTTTGAAAGTTCATGAATTCACAGTTAGGTCATAAGTATTGTCACACAGTAAAAACTTTTCTTTTAGAATGCTGACCACAAAAAAGTTTATTGAATTAGAATTTCGAATTGTTCATGAAAATAAAAATGTATACTTTTTAGAATCTTACTCAATTTTAAATATGGAGTGGACGCTTACAGAAGACCGTGTTGCAGTTATTGCGTTGCATCGTTGCGGTTACGCGCCAATTCAAATTTAGGACATACTGAAAATTTTGAATATAAGCAAAAGATTCGTTTATCGTACCATCAAACGATACAATGAAGACTAGTGTAGATGACAGGTCAAGAAGTGGTCGCCCTCGGTCTGTTAGGACTCCAGCAGTGATAAAAGCTGTGAAGGCGCGAATTCAAAGAAATCCCAAACGTAAGCAGAAACTGTTGGCCCTTCAGATGGGGTTAAGCAGAACCACGGTGAAAAGGGTGTTAAATGGAGATTTAAGGCTTCGGGCATATCGAAGAAAAACAGGACATGTTTGAATGCTCGTCTAATGGACCTGAAACTGAAGAGATGCCGCGCTTTGTTGAAGCGGTACGCGGGAAAAAAATATCGGGAAATTCTTTTTTCGGATGAAAAAAATTTTACCCTAGCAGAGAGCTACAACAAACAAAATGATAAGGTGTACGCACACAGTAGTGAAGAAGCGAGCAATCGTATTCCGCGTGTCCAACGAGGTCATTTTCCATCCTCGCTCATAGTATGGTTGGGAGTTTCTTATTGGGGCTTAACAGAGGTACATTTTTGTGAGAAAGGTGTAAAAACTAATGCAGTTGTGTATCGAAATAGTCCTGACGAACCTTGTGGAACCTGTTTCTCATACCATGTTCAGGCACTGGGTATTCCAACAAGATTCGGCGCCAGCTCATAGAGCGAAGAGCACACAAGACTGGCTGACGGCGCGTGAAATCGACTTCATCCGGCACGAAGACTGGCCCTCCTCCAGTCCAGATTTGAGTCCGTTAGATTACAAGATATGGCAACACTTAGAGGAAAAGGCGTGCTCAAAGCCTCATCCCAATTTGGAGTCACTCAAGGTATCCTTGATTAAGGCAGCCGCCGATATTGACATGGACCTCGTTCGTGCTGCGATAGACGACTGGCCAGTCGGCGCAGATTGAAGGCCTGTATTCAAAATCACGGAGGTCATTTTGAATAAATTTTATTGTCATAAGAATCTATGTTTTGTTAAGTTCATTTTGGGTTATAAATGGTTACATAATGAATAAACTTGTTTCAATTATTTTATATTACCCATATGACAGAATTTATGACCTGACTAGGTATATATCATATCATCATGTTTTTTTTCAGATTTTTCAAGACAATAGTTTAGCTTTAGAGGGGTTACGGGGGACCTACTCGAACAAAAATTTGCTATTAATATTTCACAAACTGATCCCTAAATCGGAAAATAGTCTTAGCAACCTAAGTCATTCAATCAAATCCAGTACCAACTTCGAGTTGTAAATAGAGTAAGTGAATCTTATCTGTGTTTAGGTCATTTTTAAAAATATAAATAAACTAGCGGACCCGACAGACGTTGTCCTGTCTAGTATGGTAGCGCCGTCTGTCGGATCCAATGTAAAACATTCCAAAATCAACAACTACTAATAAATTAAAAATTAATTAAAAAAAATTTGTCCAGCGGACAAAATTGTGAATCTAAACCATTCTCAGATCCCCTTGAATACACACAAAAAATTTCATCAAAATCGGTCCAGTCGTTTAAGAGAAGTTCAGTGACATACACACTCACAGAAGAATTATATATATAAAGATTAATCATTTTAGTTGATTTCACAATTCATTAAGTTCTGATATTTTTGTAAAGGGGAATCTAACTAGCCTGACTTGAATAATGTGTTTTAGTCCAAAAGTATAGTTAGTATCTTATGCACTATCCGAAATCAAAAGTATTAGTCATATAGTTAGGTTGAGAAAGGTAGAAAATTTTGGTGAATTTGATGATATATCTAACACAAACTTGGCCAAATGTCGACTTGGTGACTTTTTGCTCTACTGCGACGATGTAGACGTGGTGATTAAAAGTGAATAAAAAATTGTCGGTAGCGGGCACGGACCTGAAAAAAGACGGACTTAACCTCGACTAATCGTGAGTGAAGCATGCCAATGGCCGCCCGCTTACCGCGTGCGCGTGACTTGTGGGTTGTCGGGTAAATCATCAATTTCCCTGCTTTTCAAATTTCGCAAACTAAAACATTAACATTATGTAATCAAAAATATGTTATAATAACGGGATATTTACCACATGTTTTACTTGTTGTGAACTCCCCATATTTCAGCATTTTAAACGCTTGCACTTCAGAAACATGATGTTGGGCTATCAAAATATTTTTTTTGAACAAAGAGATATAAAAGAAAACACTTGTTATGTATAAAGAAAATTATTGTTTACATATTAAATGTAAATTAATGTCTTTAATATTAATTATGAGGTTAATATTATACATTTATAATAACGAAATAAGCAGTGCAATCAGGGCTAACTTGATATTAACATTATTTTTTATTATAGGAACTACCACAAATGCTAGTGGTGAGTGCATCCGCCCGGACAGGGGAACACGCTGATTTGAGTCCTGTATGAAACCTTGACACAGTTGATTTTTTTCTACAAAAATCTTAATATTATATAATTTACGCATCGCGTTGTTTGTCCTGGATGGATTCCTAAACTACCTAAACGATTTAAATCAAATTTGCACACCGCATGCAATTAAACCAACTTGAAAGATACGATAGCTTACATCTCAATTTATAGTCGCAATATTATTTTATTGCAAATTATTACTTTTTTGGGGGATACGAAGTTCGCCGAGTCAGCCAGTATTCTATAGATTTACATTTTGGATTTTTATGAAGAATGCTTGCCCGAATTTTTAGTTGAATTAAAAGTAAAAAACTTTTTAGAAAACGAGCTTCAATTTAAAAACCGTTCAAAAGAATAAAATAAAAAAATCCTTTAAATCATTTACTGTCAACTTATAACGTCATTGCTTGTCGCGAGATTTACTTGTGTAAATAAAATAAATCTGAATAGATTGATTTTAATTTTTAAATTTTCATTCTATTACCACAAGTACTTATTAAATCCGGTGATAGGCTTTTATATTATATCAATCGTGTAATG